GTGCTGCGCCTAGGGGTGCTGAGCCTGCGGGTGCGAGGCCTGGGGGTGCTGAGCCTGGGGGTGCTGCGACTGGGGGTGCTGAGCCTGCGGGTACTGAGCCTGCGGGTACTGAGCCTGGGGGTGCTGCTACTGAGCCTACGGAGCCTCGGGTTACTGCGTCTGGGGGTGCTCCGGTTCGGGGTGCTGAGCAGTCTCTCACACCGCAGCAGCTTCGCGACTGGTACGTCCGACGCTTTCGCCGTCCTAGTGGCTCGGTTGGAGTTTGGGGTGCTGGAGCTGCTCGTCCTGGGGGTGCTCGTACTGGGGGTACTGGAGCTGCCGGGACTGGCTGTTCTGGGAGCACTGCGACTGGAGCTGCTGGAGCTGGGGACTCTGGCGCTGGCGGTGCTAGCGGAGTTGGAGCTGCCGACTCTGGGGGTGGCGCTGCTGCTGGTGCTGAGGAGTCGGACGGTGGAGCTGCTGCTGGAGCTGGGGACCCGGCCGGTGGAGCTGCTGCTGGTGCTGTGGACCCGGACGCTGGAGTCCCTTCTGCTTCTGGAGACGCTGCGCGGCCGCGACCGTACTTCGTACCGCTCCTTCAGCAGGTTCTTGGGCAGGCTCCTCCTCCTTGTCCTCCTCCCTCTGTAGAGTGTCCTCCGCCTGTCCAGCCGCAGTCACAGTTACCGCCTGCCTCGCCTCTCCCTGCTCCCTCTCCTTACGCTGGTCCCACAGGAGGTCTTACAGAGCGTCGTGAGCCTGAGTCTCGTCCTGCGTCGCCTGTTCGCACTGCTCGCACTGGTCGTCGTGTCCGTCGTGAGCGTCCTCCTCCTGTCCCAGGCACTCACTACATGACTCTGCGTCCCTCTACTGCTCCTCGGCGTGTCCCTCTACCGTCTCCTCCTGCGTCCTCTTTGCCTGCCGTTCCGGACCCTGAGTCTGACCGGTATCGCGCTGAGCACCCTACAGTCACGCGTCTCCTTGCTACTGTTGTCACTGACCCCACCTTTGAGTCCTCGTCTGCGTCTGCTCTGGTCGCTGAGTTGGTTGACTTTGCTGCTGCCTGTCGTCTAGACTACGCTGCTAGCCTTGTCGCTGAGTCAGAGTCTGCGTCTGTCTGTCCTCCGTCCGTCGGGGGTGAGTGTGCTCTTGGCACGGACGTCCTTGAGGACAGGCAGGAGGACTTTGACTCACTTGCGGCTGCTGTACCTCATCTCGTGGCCTGGTTGCTTGCCCCTGAGGGAGACCCGGATGCAGTAGACATCCCCACTCCGCGCACCTACGCAGAGGCGATCTCGGGTCCCTACTCCTCTCAGTGGCAGACAGCCATGGACGCAGAGATGGCATCCTGGAAGTCCACAGGCACCTACGTCGACGAGGTTCCCCCTCCTGGGGCGAACATCGTCGATGGCATGTGGATTTTCAGGGTGAAGCGGCCGCCAGGTTCTCCGCCTGTCTTCAAGGCTCGTTACGTTGCTAGAGGCTTCAGTCAGCGTCAGGGGGTCGACTTCTTCCAGACCTTCTCCCCCACCCCGAAGATGACCACTCTTCGGGTTCTGCTGCACGTTGCTGCTCAGCGTGACTACGAGCTTCACTCTCTTGACTTCAGCACAGCTTTCCTGCAGGGCAGCCTGCACGAGGAGATCTGGCTGCGCCGCCCACCTGGCTTTACTGGGTCGTTTCCCCCTGGTACCCAGTGGAGTCTCCGCCGGCCAGTCTACGGTCTCCGCCAGGCGCCACGTGAGTGGCACGACACACTGAGGACTACTCTTGCGGCTCTTGGGTTCGCGCCGTCTACTGCTGACCCGTCGCTGTTTCTGCGCACAGACACGTCGCTGCCGCCGTTCTACATCCTCGTGTACGTCGACGACTTGGTCTTTGCTACTGCTGACACTGAGGCACTCGCTCGTGTGAAGTCGGAGCTGCAGAAGAGACACACCTGCACTGACCTGGGTGAACTGCGTAGCTACCTTGGCTTGCAGATCACCCGGGACAGAGCTCGCCGCACCATCACCCTGACTCAGTCACACATGGTGCAGCAGGTCCTTCAGCGCTTCGGCTTCCAGTTCTCCTCACCACAGGCCACACCTCTGGCTACCAGCCACTCGCTCTCAGCTCCACCTTCGGACGAGTCCGTAGAGCCGAGTGGCCCGTACCCAGAGCTTGTAGGCTGCCTCATGTACCTGATGACTTGCACGCGACCTGACCTCGCGTACCCTCTTAGCATCCTTGCTCGTTACGTTGCGCCTGGGAGACACAGGCGAGAGCACTGGGAGGCTGCTAAGAGGGTGCTGCGTTACCTGTGCAGTACATCAGGCATGGGGCTGGTGCTTGGAGGACGCGACAGAGTTGTCCTCACTGGTCACTCGGACGCCTCTTGGGTGGACGACCTAGCTACGCAGCGGTCGTCACAGGGTTACACCTTCAGCCTTGGCTCAGGTTCTGTCTCGTGGCGGTCCACCCGCTCTTCCTCTGTTCTCGGCTCTAGTTGTGAGGCTGAGATCTACGCCACAGCCATGGCTGCACAGGAGTTACGCTGGCTCACCTACCTGCTGACTGACTTGGGAGAGCGGCCTAGTTCTCCTCCAGTTCTGTATGGTGACAACAAGGCGGCTCTTGCCTTGTGTCAGGAGCACAGACTGGAGCACAGGACGAAGCATATTGCTCTTCGCTACTTTCTTGCTCGAGAGCTTCAGCAGCGCGGTCAGCTTCGGCTTGTGTACGTGGACTCGAAGGCCAACACTGCTGATATCTTCACCAAGGCGCTCCCGCCTAGTGACCATCAGCGGCACTGTACTTCTTTAGGCCTTGTGTCCACGTTTCCTCACTTGCTCACTGCTTGACATTCTTTGTACTGTACTTTATATATATCTTGTTGCTTGTCTTGTACTATATCTAGCACTGCATGTGAACTGGCCTTGTGGCCTTTGCTTGTGCTCGGAGTGTGGTGACGTTGTGATCCACCCTGGGCTTTGCTTTGCTTTGCTGGACTGGTCTTGTGACCCTTTGTTCTCCCCCACTTTGCCTATGGGGGTGTGTTAAACTATATTATGCTTGTAGGCTGTAGTGGGGTAGCCAATATGGGGTACAACCCCAACTAGGGTTTGCTACTTGTACCCAATTCTTCCATTCAATGCACCATTCTTGCCTAGTGATTCTGATACTGACGTCACTGTTCGCACGGACCACAAGTCCCTACAGTACCTGCGAGCTCAGCCCAACCTCAACCCGCGACAAATTCGGTGGCTGGACTACATGAAGAGTCACTTCACCTACCGCATCATGTACAAGAAGGGGCGAATAACATCGTCGATGCCCTTGCCGGCCCGACAGTTCAATCCGCTATAGTGCTCATCACCCACTCGAACCCGCTAGTTACGGACCCGTTCTTCACGACTAGGAATCACCAGTAGACGGCGACGAGGAAGGGGAACTATTACTTTAAGGCCGGAACTGACCGGATTTGGGTTCCCGCTTACCGGCTGCTGCGTGAACTCCTTATCCATGAGGTCCACGATTCTAACCTTTTCGGACATTTCGGGGTTGATAAAACCCAGAAGCTGTTGCACCATCAATATTATTGACCCGATTTTGCTAACGACGTGCAGCGGTATGTGTCCTCATGCAGGGTGTGCCAAGCCATGAAATCGACACGTCAGCGGCCAGCTGGGTTGCTGCAACCCCTCGAGCCACCCGAACGACCGTGGCAACAAGTGACGATGGATTTCGTCACGGGGCCGTCCGGCAACGACGCTGTTCTCATCTTCGTCGATCGCCTCACGCAAATGGCGCATTTCGCACCGTGTCGTACAACAATCACTGCCGAAGAAACTGCGCGCCTCTTCATCTCGACCGTCGTGCGAATGCACGGAATCCCCGCGGCGATCATCAGCGCCAGGGACCCGAAGTTCACGTCGAAGTTTTGGAAGGAAACGTGGGCGCAGTACGGCACGAAGCTACAATCCTCATCAGCATACCACTCGCAAACGCACGGCCAGATCGAACGAACCAATCAGACGATGGAACAGCTGATTGGGACAAACTACTCCGACCCCATTCGCTGGGAAAACTCGCTCGCCATGCTGGAGTTCGCGTTCAACAACGCCCCGTCTAGCACGACTAATCACTCCCCGTTCTTGTAAATTATGGGATGGACCTAACAGTGCCTACAACGACTACGCTTGACAATCCGGTCCCGCGGTCACAAACATTGTGACGGAACTACAAGAAGTTCGCGAAAAGGCTGCGGACGCCATTCGCAAGGCGAATACCACTTTCCGCAAATACACCGACCTTTTACGACGGGAACTCGTCTTGGCAGCTGGGCTACTATTGCTACTGGACACGAAGAACCTGCACCTGCCTGGCCCGTCGAAGTTACGGCCACGATTTTGTGGAATCCTGTTAGAATCTAGCAGCAGGAATGAGTGAACTAGCAGGATGCAGGAGTACAAGTAGTAAACCCTAATTGGGTTGTACCCCATATGGGCTACCCCACTACAGCCTAGACAATATGCAGCATATATAGTTTGACACATCCGCCTCGCTTGAAGCTTCTCCGCTTCTTGGTGATTACCTCGCCCGCAAGCGAGTTGCGGATATTGACAACCTTTCTTAAGGGGGGGAGGTTGGGGGGGGGGAGGGGGGAGGGAGGGTAGTGTAAGGAAAAACCTTTTTCCTTATAGGGGTTTACTCAACCGCGTACATCCCCAACTTTCGGAAGAAAAGAAAACGATTTCCTTGTAGGATGATGTTTTTCAGTGCCTCTGTACTGGGTCAATTTCATGAACCCAGTTGAACCGCATCGAATCCCCGTCTCTCTAATGCCCTAGGCGTAGGTATTACTTGGCAACTGCTTCCAGGCTAACCTTCAAACTACGAAGCTCTCCGCAATTGCCGCTCCACGAGGCAGCCATAGGTTGTCGTAACACGTTTTTCCCACAGACTACCGCCCATCGTCTGGGTATTGTGGGCATTGCGTGTTCGGCCAATCGAAACGTTGGCTTCACGCCGTCCTCGTCGCCATGTTTCCCGCCGCTATTCGCGGTGCTCGCCGGCTCACGTCATGCCCCGTCAGCACCGTCTACGCGCGTGGCTTCGCGGCGTCGCAAAACAGTCTGCAAAGCAGTGCGTACTGAGATCGCGTTCTTGCAGTGCGTACTGAGATCGCGTTCTTGCATAGTCCGCGATTCGTACTTGATTAGGATGGATATTCGAGTTCAAGCTTTTCGTGCACTCCGTAGCACTGCTGTATTCACCCGACTCGCCTCTACGCCTGCATGTTCCTAATTACACGTCGGATACTGGTTAGAGCGAGGCGATTAGGGCAGTCCTGCGATGAGATCTGGCGAATCATCGAGTTCCCCACGACCTGCCTCTCATCGCATGATAACCGTACGATTAATAAACCATTCGAGCTTAACAGAGAACCAACGGCTTTCGCTATGCGATATGTTGGTGATGTTTGCTCGCAACAGCTAGGCAGCATTTACCCCGGCATGGCCGTGTCGCTGTCTCAACTCAGCCACACCAATCACGGTCACTGGGTCAACCTACTTGGATTGTCTTCCGTCATTTCCCTCGTGTCTCGTCTCATCTCTCTCGTCTCATCTCTCTCGCCTCATCTCTCTCGCCTCATCTCTCTCGCCTCATCTCTCTCGCCTCGTTTTTGTTCTCCCTCCTCCGCCTCTTCCCGAACCTTATTCGAACCTCTTCCGAACCTGCTCCTGCGCATCAGCTCCAGAAGCCCCTCCGCCATCATCCAAGCCCGACCCGCCTGCAGACCTCAACACAGGTGCGTGCGCGCATCCCAGTGATCCGATCTTATCAAATCCGAACCAAGTATCCGACATTTGCGATGCCTGTCTCATCACCCGATACTAATCACTTGGCGTCAATGCTTTGCAATAAATTCGAGAGGCCTAATGTATTAACGCACCGACACGCGATGAAGGCGTGAGATTCCAGTCACTGCTGTTGGCCGTCCCACCTTCCCTTTCACCCCCACAGTCCCGCATCACAACACCCAGGCGCTGCAGGCGACAGTTGCCATGCGAGGCTTCGCCTTTGTTGCACACCCGTCAACCCTGCTCTGTTTCCCACCGCGCCTCCCTCCCTGCGCGTCCCACTCCACGCCTGTGCTGCTGAACATGAACGCGCGCTGCTGATGAGTGCTGCTGCTCCTATTTACCTGGCCCCTGCCAAACAGCAACCTCGCGTGGCTTTCCTCTGTATTCCACATCGTCCCACCCGTGCGTGTGTGTGCCCGCCCCGCCCGTGGCAGTGCTGGAGCGCAACATGAACACGCTGCTGGTCACGGAGCTGCTGCGCGGCATGGGCCTCACGCTCAAGTACTTCTTTGATAAGAAACTCACTGTAAGGGGGATACACGTGGCGTGCCATGCCGTGCCATGCCATGCCGTGCCATGCCATGCCATGCCTGCCTGCCATGCCATGCCATACCATGCCTGCCTGCCATGCCATGCCATACCATGCCTGCCTGCCATGCCATGCTGTGTCGTGGCTCACTGCGAGCTCCTTAGAGCGCAGCTGCTGTGAGTGGGTGAGTATGCTTGTGTGGTTGAACGCACCATTGGGTGCGTGAGTGCGTGAGTGCGTGCATGAACCTGCCACTGGCAAATGCCGCTGGCAACTGCTGTCAGCCAGCAACTGCTGTCAGCCAGCAACTGCTGTCAGCCAGCAACCGCTGTCAGCCAGCAACCGCTGTCAGCCAGCAACCGCTGTCAGCCAGCAACCGCTGTCAGCCAGCAACTGCGGTGGGAGAGCCTTGCTTCAAAGCAATTTCTTAGCACAACAATTAGCCATTCAGACTAGCAGCGCCCTTTTTAGTCTTTACTGCCCCTGGAACTGTTTCAGAGAATCCTCTCCTTTCCTTCCCATGAGTCCCGTTCTTCTGCATCTCCCCCCTGTCTCGCCACGCCCGTGTGCGCGTGCCATGGCAGATCAACTACCCGTTTGAGAAGGGCCCGCTGAGTCCGCGCTTCAGGGGCGAGCACGCCTTGAGGCGCTACCCCACCGGCGAGGAGCGCTGCATCGCCTGCAAGCTCTGCGAGGCTGTCAGTGGAAGGGGGGGGGGGGGGGGGGGGGCAAGCTGTGTGTGAAGCCGTGAGTTGGGGTTGATGAGAGGACTGTTGCATCATGCTAGCTCTGCGAGGCTTTTAGTGGCGCTGCTGCTTTCCTGCCATTCACCTCCATTCGTTTAATTCTGTGTTCTGGCTCGTCCTGTTTTTTGGTATAGTGACGTCTCTCTAGTTTGACAGAAGGCCTTGCTCAGTCGCTCTCCCTATCTCCCTCTCCATTGCTCCTTCCTATTACCACGTCCACAGGTAAAATAACCGGCAGTGTAAGACAGATGATCTAAAATAAATACAATAGCTGGCGGCAACTGGATCCCTCTCACTCTCCGTTTCCCTCTGTATCTGCCTCTCTTTCCCTCCGCATCTCCATGTCTCCGCGTGCCCCAGGTGTGCCCGGCCCAAGCCATCACGATTGAAGCAGAGGCCCGTGAGGATGGCAGCAGGCGAACCACGAGGTGGGATGGCACGCATGGCCCCATGCACCCATGCACCCATGCACCCATGCACCCATGCACCCATGCACCCATGCACCCATGCACCCATGCTCCCATGCACCCATGCACCCATGCACCCATGCACCCATGCTCCCATGCACCCATGCACCCATGCTCCCATGCACCCATGCTCCCATGCACCCATGCACCCATGCACCCATGCACCCATGCTCCCATGCACCCATGCACCCATGCACCCATGCTCCCATGCACCCATGCACCCATGCTCCCATGCACCCATGCTCCCATGCACCCATGCTCCCATGCACCCATGCTCCCATGCACCCATGCACCCATGCTCCCATGCACCCATGCTCCCATGCACCCATGCTCCCATGCACCCATGCACCCATGCACCCATGCACCCATGCACCCATCCAACCATGCACCCATCCACCCATGCACCCATGCACCCATGCACCCATGCATCCCATTCTCCCTCCCCCCCTCCTCCCCCTGCAGGTACGACATAGACATGACCAAGTGCATCTACTGCGGGCTGTGCCAGGAGGCGTGCCCCGTGGACGCCATCGTCGAGGGCCCCAACTTCGAGTTCGCCACCGAGACCCACGAGGTGGGGGGGGGGGGGGGGGGGGGGGGGGGGGGGGGGGGGGGTCACGGCCTGTAGGGGGAGATTTTGTGCATGGGGGAGGGGAAAGAGCGATGGTGGGTGGGGGGGGGGGAGAGGGAGAGTGGGGGTGGCATGTTCTTGTGACATTGTGGACGCCATTGTGGATCCAAGTTTAGATTTACCACTGTGACTCACGCAGTGGGGAAAAGGGGGAGGGAGAGGGCGACAGGGTGGGAGAGGGTGAGGGCCTTATGCATTATGAGAGTGTGCGTGGGTGGGAGAGGGAGAGTTGTGGCAGGAGGAGGTGGAGTTTGATAAATTTTTGGCCCTTTTGTCTCCCTACTCCCTGCTTCATATTCTTTTCCTTCCCATTCTCTGATTCCTCTTCTCCACCCTTCCCTACTCTCTTCCCTACTCTCTTCCCTCCTCTCTTCCTCCTCCCTTTGAGTTCCTTCTTCTCTTCTTCTCTATTGTACGACAAGGAGAAGCTGCTGGAAAATGGTGACTGGTGGGACAAGGGCCTCATTTGTTCGCCCTTTCTTATCGTTCACCCTATGTTACTATTCACCCTCTCTTACCGTTCACCCTTTCTTACCGTTTGCCCTTTCTTACCGTTCACCCTTTCTTGCCGTTCACCCTTTCTTACCGTTCACCCTTTCTTACCGTTCACCCTTTCTTGCCGCTCGTCCTTGTGTCACCGGTTCCGTCTCTCCCCCCAGGAGCTGCTGTATGACAAGGAGATTGGAGAATGGGGACCGGTGGGAGACGGAGATTGCCAACAACATGCAGACCCAGTCCCTCTACCGCTGACCTCCTGCTTGCCCTGTAACAATCATGATGATGATGACATGAGCATTGTCAACTGTTACTTAGATGCGATGCAATGCAATGCTTCTGTTTTGTTGCATATTGGAATTAAGGTTAATTCGGGTTGCTCCAATAACCATACAGTATATAGTGCTAGATCTACACTATAGTACTGTCATCGCCCGGATATAAGACAGTGTTGAATAGTAGACAAGGGTTGTCTACTATACGGGTGTCTCTTATAAACAGGCTAGCCTTTTTATACGACACCTATTTGTGTGTACGAGATAAGACATATATGTCTTATGATCAGAACCGGGGTTTGGGGGTTTTCTTATAAGCAGGGGGTGTCTTCTAAACGAGCCTTCACTACTTTAGGGGGGGTACATCCATACATTCATGAATCTCTACTTCTACCTAACCCCCCTCAGTCACCGCCTCCTTTGGAGCACTAGCAACATGCTCTACACCCAGGTCTGGCACTCGCCAGGCATGCCTAGCCGTCTCCCTAGGCTCGATCATGCGATCAGCCTCGGCCGTCGCTCCGCGGTAGTTGGAGATCTCCTGGTACAGCACCTCCAGGCCAGTTGCCACGGCCACCTCCCGCACGCCCTCCACCTGCATCGCCGCCGCCTCCTCCTCCTCCTCCTCCTCCTCCTCCTCCTCCTCCTCCTCCTCCTCCTCCTCCTCCTCCTCCTCCTCCTCCTCCTCCTCCTCCTCTTCCTCCTCCTCCTCTGGAGCCTTCCCGAGGAAGCGCGTGTTGTCGCGTGTGGTCCCCCCAAGGGACATGTCCTCGGAGACATCGGTGGTGCTCCTGGCGCGCAGGTGAGACATCACCAGGTGGTTCTCCGTTCCGTCCAGCTTGCTGGAGATCCCACAGTGGCGGACGCGTCGATGATGATCTGCTTGGGGACTTGATCCCAAGCCTCCGCGATCCACTACAGCACCACGGGGTTCGGAGGCCTCCGCAGGTTCCCTGCAGGTGGGACAGAGGACACGGCAGCGAGCTGTTAGGGACATGTTAACGATAAGGACACGAAACAGAGCAGGAATTGAAAATGAACAGCCAACTCACCCTTCTTCGTCTTCAGGTGAATCCCTTCGCGCATGAACCACCTGGCGTAGCGCGCTCGCACGGCAGCCTTGAAGCACCGGTTGATGGAGACGTCCAGGGGTTGAATCTGGCTCGTACAACCCGCTGGAATGACTGCAGGGGTGATGCTGTGCGTGCGGTACGACTGAAGCATGGTCTGGGTGATGTGGCCGCGGTAGGAGTCCAACACCAGCATCGCACGCCTCACGCTCTGGCCGAGCTGGGGGTTCAGATGGGGCAGCACCTCCTTGGACAGCCAGGTCTGCACAGCGCTCTCGTCCATCCACCCGTTGTCCTGTGCTTGGACCACGATTCCTGCCAGGCACACAAGGGACAGACGGGCATCAGCACAGTGGGGCACGCTCATGAGGCAGGGGCACGAATTCATGGCGCTTACTGTCCGGAATCTCACAGTTGGGGACGTTCTTCATCTTGAACCACACCCACGGCAGCAGCTTCTCCCCGGATGCAGTGCACGCGAGCATCACCGTCAAGCGCGTCTTCTGGTAGCCTGCAGTGCGGATTGGGACCGAGCGCGCGCCACGGTGCTCGATCGTCCTCTCGGCTGGCATCTCCACGAAGATTGGCGTCTGGTCCGCGTTGATGATGCGGGCCAGGTCGATGTTGTGCCTGTTGATGCGCACGAACTTCCAGAAGGACTCGCAGTCCTTCGCGCACTCTGCAACCGGGACAGGCGTAACAGAAGCACGGGACGGTTAGACACTAGGCAGGATAAGACATGCATGCAATGGGCCGAGCGCGGCACGAACTCCATTTCCACGCACCTACCGACAGACGTTGTCCGACCTTCGTCTTCACCCGCATCACCAGGTTCCAGCGGTCACGGAAACGCTGGCTCCAGTGAGAGCTCGCGTTCCAGCTCTTGCCGAGGTAATGCTTCTTCATCCACTCGCGGCTCCACTTCTGGGTGTCCTTCACCGAGATGGCCACCCCGTTAGTGCGCTGAAGGCAGATGTAGCGGTACAACGCTGCCTCCATGTCGGGGTAGTGTGCGTGGCGCCCCCCCCCCCCCCCCCCCCCCCCCCCCCGTGCAGTTAGCCGCGCCCTTGTAGAAGCCCGCAGCCGCCTCCGCGCTCCAGCAACTGATGCAGGTGTGCTCGCGGTTGACTCCACGCTCTTCTTCTTCAAGGAGCCGAGCTCCTGATAGCAGCGCGCCCACTTAAGCTTCTCACGCACAGTCCATCCGCGGCGCTTCTTCGTAGTGTCTTTGCTGCGAGGGGAAGGTGGGCGGGTGTTGGGATTATGGAGGGTGGGGTCCTTAGACGTGACCTTCACCGGGAACGTGGGAATCGGGCCCGCCGCCGCCGCGTTCTCATCGTCGCTGCCCAACGTCTCGTTCACGATGATGTCGTTAGGATTCGGCGCCTTCTTCGACTTCTTCTTAGCCGCACCCTTGCTGGATCCCGGGTCTCCATCGGACTTGCGCTTCTTGTTGCTTGTGCGGCGACGAGCAGGGGCCTTAGCAGGGGCCTTAGCAGGGGACTTAGCAGGGGTTTCCACGACCTTGGCCTTTCCCTTCTCCGCAGCGGTGTGATTATCGGGCGACGCTCCTCCCCGGGACTGTCGTCGTCAGAGAGCACCACGCGGGCGCGCTTCGTCGTGGGCTGTAGGCGATGGCGCAACCTCCGCTTCAGTAGCGGAACGTCGTCGTCTGTCCCAAGGCTCCACGGGTCGTCGTCGGAGCCTTCACCGTCAAATAAGACGGCATCCGCAGCCACCTTGTCCGCCTCCGCCACCTCGTCCGCATCTGCTGGCGCATCTGTCTCGAGTTCCGCCTCCGCCTCGTCGGCACGCTCATTCGCATCCACCGCCGCTTCCTGTGCCTCCGCATTGTCACCGTCAGCTTCGTCACCTCCGTCATTGTCAGAATCACCAGCCGGTCACTCTTCCACCTCGTCGTCGCTCCCGACCGGCTGATTCCACCATTCGTCCTCCTCAATGTCGGCAGGACCTAATTCGCCGCCCGAAGCGCTGTCGTCGTGGCCGTTCTCCGGCCAATCCTCCTCCGCGTCGTCGCCGTGTGCTTCGTCTCCGTCGTCGCCGTGTGCTTCGTCTCCGTCGTCGCCATCACAGCTCGCACCGAAGGCGGCGGTAGGACCTCCCGCCTTGCTCGCGTTCTTTGCCATGGCTACACGGATGTCGTCGCCGGGCGAGTTAGTTCGCCCATAATTATTCACCTGCAGGTGAGGACGAGGTGAGGACTTGCCTACGGGGACCTTGCTGCGCATGGTTAGAGAGCCTGCCGAGAGCAAGGTTGATTCGGGTATTCAACCTCCTTGAGCACCAAATGAAGCACGAGCCCGACTAACCCCCCCCAGCCAGAGTGCCCCAACCACTGATGCCGAGCCGCTCCTCTACGAGGCATCTCCTCGTAGAGGACAGCCCTCGCGCTGCCAACGTGCTGCCAGCAACGTTTTGGAAGCTGCCATGCGCTGCTGGCAGCAAAACGACGCTGGCAGCATCATTAGATGCTGCCAGCACAGAGGAATGTTGCTAGCAGTGGCAACTTTGCTGCATCCCTCACGTGGCAAGCGTGGGCACTGCATGCATCACCACCGAGGTCGGCCTGTTTCAATGAATCTGGTCCATGGGTGGTTTCTACACACTTTGCAAGTGTTACAGTCAACTTATAATTTTTTCCATTTATAAGACTTATAAGGGCGTATTCCTATCCTCCTATCAAGAAAACCTCTTATCAAGCTCACACTGAAAAATTCCCTAAACCCAAAATCTCTCGCTACTTTCACCAGGCAAAATGTGCATTCTTGATAGGAGGTTTCTTGATAGGAGGCCGTAGGAATACGCCCTAAGACACCATAAACCATCCCGTTTACAAGATAACTCAAGCATTTTTTGCCCATGTACGAGATAAGACATATGTGTCTTATATCCGTGCAATGACGGTATTGTAGAATACATTTGTTGGGTTGGGAGAACTTGTAGTGCACACTCTTTAGAGTGGACCACCTCCTAAAACCTTAAGGTTAGGGTTCTCTCTTGTTGGAAGTTCAATTCTCGCAAAATCAATTTGGTTCTAGGATGGTTCATGCCCAAGTTGGCACCTAATATTCCTAACCTTTAGGAGGAGGTTATACCGTCATCACCCGGATATAAGACAGTGTTGAATAAAATATAGGGGGTGTCTATTATCCGGGTGTCTCTTATAAACGGGGAAGCCTCATTATACCGTAATCCCCGGCATAGTACACCCTTGTCAGAATGAAGAATGGATGATGCATTGATGTTGGTTGGGGTACATATAGCTAACCCTAAGTTTTGTACCCCTTAAGACAAACCTCACTATAGGCTACAACATTTGACACACCCCCATAGCCTAAGTGAGGGGTGTCTAGCAGAACCAAACGAGTACGGTCACAAGACCAGTCCAAGAAGTAACAGAGATATATAGAAAGCAAAGTAAACAGTACACTCAAGTCTAAGCAACACGAGAACCAGTGTCAACAAGGCCTAACTGCACACAGCACCTCTGGTGGTCACAAGGCGGAAGCGCCTTGGTGAAGATGTCTGCAGTGTTGGCCTCGGACTCCACAAACTCAAAGCGAGCCTGTCCACGCCTCTGCAACTCTCGCAGAAGAAAGTACCTGACGTGAATGTGCTTCACTCTGCTCTCCAGTCGTGGCTCTCGACAAAGGAGAATAGACGCCTTGTTGTCAGTGAACAAGGTCGGTGCAGAGCTCGGCCGCTCACCAAGGTCGGTGAGCAAGAAGGTCAACCAACGCAGCTCCTGTGCCGCCATGGCACCAGCGTAGATCTCAGCCTCAGCTGTAGAGGTCGAGACCGAAGAGGAGCGCGTGGACCGCCAGGAAACAGCTCCAGAACCCAGGCTGAAACAGTACCCCTGAGTAGACCTGTGAGTCTCAGCGTCGTCAGCGTAAGAGGAGTCACAGTGACCAGTAAGTACGACAGACTGCTGCCCTCCAAGAACTAGCCCCACGCCTGACGTCGTCGCTAGGTACTTCGCCACCCTCACAGCTGCTGTCCAGTGAACAGGACGGTGTCTCCCTGGCGCAACAAAGCGCGCAAGAACGCTGAGAGGGAAGGCGAGGTCCGGGCGAGTACAAGTCATCAGGTACATGAGGCAACCCACAAGCTCAGCGTAGGGACCACTAGGCTCGAACGGCTCGTCAGGAAAGGGTCCAGTGAGTCTGTGGTCAACAGCAAGAGGTGTGCGCTGTACTGTGGAGTGCTGAAGCCCGAACCGCTGAAGGACCTGCTGCACCATGTGCGACTGTGAAAGTGTAATGGTGCGAGCAGCTCTGTCCCTGGTGATCTGCAGGCCAAGGTAGTGGCGCAGCTCACCAAGATCAGTGCAGGTGTGTCTCTTCTGTAGTTCGGACTTCACGTGTGCCAAAGCAACCCTGTCAGGGGTGGCGAAAACAAGGTCGTCAACGTAGACCAGAACAAAGAAAGGTGTGGTGCCACGACGAACGAACAGCGACGGGTCAGCAGAAGACGGCTGGAACCCAAGGTCAGACAGGGTAGAACGCAGGGTGTCGTGCCACTCACGAGGAGCCTGACGAAGACCGTAAACCGGTCGCCTCAGCCTCCACTGGGTCCCAGGAGGGAAAGAGCCAGTGAAGGCAGAGGGACGACGCAACCAGACCTCCTCGTGAAGACTGCCCTGAAGGAAAGCAGTAGAGAAGTCGAGAGAGTGTAACTCGTAGTCTCTCTGTGCTGCTACGTGTAGTAACACCCGAAGAGTGGTCATCTTCGGGGTGGGCGCGAAGGTCTGAAAGAAGTCAACTCCCTCGCGCTGACTGAAACCTCTAGCCACGTAGCGCGCCTTGAAGACCGGAGGAGATCCCGGTGGCCGCTTCACCCTGTAGATCCACATGCCGTCGACTACGTTCGCCCCCGGAGGGGGAACCTCATCGACGTAGGTGCCTGTGGATCTGTAGGAGGCCATCTCTGCGTCCATGGCAGCTCTCCACTGAGAGGCCCAAGGCCCTGACACTGCCTCAGCGTAAGTGCGAGGAGTCGGAATGTCAAGGGCGTCGGGGTCACCCTCAGGGGCGAGGAGCATGGCACAGAGATGAGGGGAAGCGGCCGCCAGGAACTCTAGCTCAAACTGCCTGTCCTCTAGGGCGTCACAGCCAAGGGCAGACACACCCCCGACGGCCAGAGGACTGGAAGGAGGAGCAGCCACAAGAGCGGTGGCGAAGTCAAGGCGGCGGGTAGAGGCAAAGTCAGTGACTGCGGCAGTAAGAGCGGACACAGAGGACACAGAGGCACGAGGGTGAGTAACAAGCGAGGCGAGAACACGAGAGAGAAGAGGACGGTACGTGCGGTAGTAGTCAGTGACAGGAGTAGGGAGCGACGCAGTGAGAGCCGACTCAGGAGGAGACGGAAGCACAGACGGAGACGGACGAGGTGGACTAGAACGAAGTAAGGCAGTACGAAGGTCAGTGAAGGGAACAGGAGACGAGGGACGAGCACGAGGGGAGCGACGAGAGGCCCAAGTCTGAGAAGGAGGAGGGGACAACGAAGACTGAGAACGAGGGAAAACAGCGGGAGAGGGGTCAGGAGGAGGAAGCGGAGGACCAGAGACGGGAGGAGAGGGGGAGGAGGAAGGAGAGGGAGAGGGGAGACCAAGGGTCCGAAGACCCGAGACAGGAGGAGGAGACGGCAGCTGCTGCTGCTGCGGCTGCTGCGGCTGCTGCGGCTGCTGCTGCTCCAGCGGCTGCTGCCCCTGCTGCTGCTCCTGCTGCTGCTCCTGCTGCTGTCGCTCCTGCTCCTCGAGCCGCTGCAACTCTCTCTCCTCTCTCTCTAACTCCAGCTGCTCCTCACGAGCACGGCGAACACGAGCCTGGAACCTGGTCGGGTAGGGGTGGGGGGAAGGAGTAGTGTCCGGGGCAGCGGCAGCCCCAGAGTCGACCTCCGAAGCACCAAGCACACCACCCCCAGAGGCAGCACCAACACCAGCTCCAGACCCAGGCTCTCCAGAAACCGAAGGAACACCCTCACCCCCAGACGCAGCACCAGCACCCCCAGACTCCGCACGACCAGTACCAGCCCCCGGAGGAGAAGAGTCCTCTGCAACCCGCGGCTCAGCTCCAACTCCAGCACCCCCAGAACCAGAGACCTGTACAGGGACAGTCGCAGGACCAACCTCCCGAGAGGGAGCACCTACAGGAGGCGGTGAGGAAGACTGTGGGGAGGGAGGCTGTACAGGGGGGGCTACCGAAGGGGGAGGGCTAGCCTGAGACACACCAGACGGGGCTGGACCAGGGGGGGGAGGCTGTACCGGGGGAGCAGGCGGGGGAGCGGCGGTCAGGAAGAGGGGGGGAGGAGGAACCGGGAGACCTCGACTGGGGTACCTGACGTAGTACGGGGTGGACTCCTCGAAACGGACGTCACGGGAGTCAAAGAACCGGTGAGAGGGAGGGTGGTAAAAGGTGAAGTCAGAGGAGTCCTCAGGGAAACCAAGGAAGACACAAGGAACGGCGCGAGGCGAGAGCTTGTCCGCGGAGGTGTCGCGGACAAGAGCCAAGCACCCCCAGACACGAAACCTCGACGCGACACCAGGGGACCCTGTCCAAAGACTGGTCGGTGAAGCCTCCGGCCGAGAGACGCGTGGCCAGAGGTTCAGCTGGTGCGCGGCGTACCTGACTGCGTATGGCCACAGGAAATGGGGGGCACGGGCGTGAGTCAAGGAGGTGCGGGCAATCTCCATGACCAGGCCTATGCGACGCTCAGCAACCCCATTCTGCTGTGGGGACTCCGGAAGCGTCCAGGACTGACGAATGCCCTGTTCGCGACAGAATCCAGCGAGAATGCCGGAGCGAAACTCGCCCCCGCGGTCGGAGTGGAGACAGCTGACACGACGACCACGAGTGTCCTGGGTGGTAAGCAACCACCTGATCAGCGTAGAAGTCACCTCAGACTTCCTCGCCAGGGGGAACACTGTGGTGTAGCGGGAGTAGTCGTCAACGACCACCAAAAAGAAACGCTCACGCTCAGGGCCAGGGCGAGGAGAGGGGCCCCAGACGTCCAAGTGCAGCGTCTCAAAAGGCTCGGTGGCCGGACGAAGGGAGGAGGAGTGAGGGGTGGCACGCAGCCTACCCTCGACGCAAGGACCGCACGGTGGTGCAAGGGACGGCGGCAGCGACGGCAAGACACGCGGGAGACCTAAGACCAGACGCTGACTAGACATAGCACGCAGACGTGGAAGAGAAGGGTGTCCCATCCGGTGGTGCCACAGAACGGT